AGCAATTTTCCCAGTCAGCCTTTTTGAAATGTAGTAGCCAGGAGGCAAAAAATGTATGTGCCGGGGAGAAAGGCGGGGCGAGGGAGGCTGGCAGCGGGCCATCTCCAGGATGGAGACAGACTGACGGCACCCAGGGCCTCCACCCCGCAGCAGCTCTGCCGAGTACCCAACGCACAGTCCGGCGGCACTCACAGCTGCCCTGCGAAGCCGAAGGTAGCACGCCCATTCTACAGGAAACCGAGGCAGAAAGTTCACCGTTTTGTCCAGGGCACAGGCAAGGTGGAATTCCAGGCCCGGCTTCAAGATGGCGCCCTTCCCTTGGTCCAAGCGTTCCAGCACGTGCCCAGAAAAACCATTCTCCATGTCTTTCAGGACCCCCAACATAAAAGAGCTTCTACAGACGCATTCTGGGGCTGCCAGAGGAAAAAGCCCATCCCTGTTCTCCATATCAGACCAACATCAGAAACCGTTCATAAAACTTCACAGCACATTAGAGTACAAAGAACTTTCCAATAGCATTAGGCCTTCATTATTCCCCTCATTAGTGGGGAAGACAGCTAGCAGCTGTCTCATGGTGCAGGCGTAACCTGAGGGCCACCGAGGGTAGATGCCACACAGTAAGTCAGCGGCGGGGAAGCCACCCTAACTTTCCTGATATTCCAGTGCTGCTTCCTAACGCCCCCTCGCGCTGAGGCAGAGAGCCAAGCTCCAGACCCGGGGCAGGCGGCCAGGTGTGCCGGGGACAGCTTGGCCCCTGCAGACAGACCCGAGCACCACACCCAGCTGAGCATCGCCCGAGGCCTCCTCCCAGGCAGCAGGTGCCACAGCAACAGCGCAGGGAACGACGGCGCCCAGGCCCCGCGAGGGCCAAGGCAGGACCCCTGGCCCCACCAGCTTCCTCTCGGGGACGCCATCCTTGGTGTTGCCCAGGGAGGATTTATGAAAGGAGCATCAGCCTTCGCCTGTGCCATACGCCACGGACACATGGGTGCCAAATCCCGGTTCACCCTGAGCTGCTTAGGCCCACAGGTAGGAATCTCTCTCAACTATCCTCTTCCTCTTCCGTATCCAATCCGATTGCCCCCCAAATAGCTCTACCAGAGCCCCAGCCCCAGAAAGCTTCCCCGCCCCCTGGATGCACCCACTGTCCCAACTTGCCCACCACCCCCAGTCTCCCTGCCTCTTCTTTGGGCCCAGCGCCCATGCAGAAGCCTGAGGCTTTAGTCACAACTCTAATAGGGCTCCCCACACACTTCCATTACACTGAGCAAAACCCAATTTCCTTACCAGAGCTGCCACGGCCCTGCCCCCCACCCCACTTGCTCAGACCTCTTCCCCTCAACAACCCAGTCACACTGGTGGTAACTCTCACCCACCACACACCAAGCTCATGTTTTGTACATGCTGCTGCTCCTGCTGGAATTCTCCCCTCCCCAAATCCTGAAGGGCTGCCTTCCACATTCATTCCTCACTTTATTCAAATCAGCAGCTGGCTCTAAGCAGGTGACCCGAGAAGGAACCACAGCAAACATGCAACCAGAATAACCCATTTCACCCTTCAAAGCAACATTCTTTTAAATTTGGCACTTTAAAGAGGACTTAACTTGTGCCAAATATGTTGGCTAGACATCTCTGCGTTAAATGTCACTCATGACCGACACACAAGAGGTGACATGACTTCCCCAAGGTCACAATACCGCAGCACCCCAGAACCTCAAGGCAAAAGATCTAGGAAATGGACTTGCAAACACTGAATCCCTTTTCTTTACCATCTCAGTGTTTTGCACCTAAAGAAAAAAAGTAAAAGAAAAACCAAAGAATTCTTTTTCAAAAACCTCACCAATCTTCCCCACTCTGACTGCCCGGTGGCGGGAACTGTGAGATGAGAGAACACTTCCAGCAGGAACAGCTGTTCTTAAGCCAGGGCACCTGTGGCACCCTGGCTGACACCCGGGGGATCGGGGCAGGCAAGGGGAGCTCAGGCTTCGGAATCACAAAGGTGCAGATTCCAATCACATCTGCTAACAACTAGTACCAAGACCCTAGGTACGTTTATTCTGTTGTACCTAGCAGGACTCTAAATAAGGCAGCTATGACATGGTTATCTGTGCAGTCAGCCTGGATCTTACAGGGGAGAAGCAGGCGGAGCCAGGTAAGGTCGCAGCTGGCTGAGAATGAGAGTGAGTATTCGATGCCGTTAGTGAGGCGCCAGAACCCATGCCAGGGTGACAGGTGCAGCCGCACTAATTCCGGTCACCTAGAAGACAGGCCAACAGGTGAGATTCCTAAGCGCCCACTGAGGTATATGTTAGCTGCTCTTACTGGTAGTGGCAACTGTCATCATTCTATTATTTGCCTTCGTCTTTTATCAAGCCAAGGGCTGAAGAATAATAATTTGGCTGAAAAAGGCCCCTGCAGTAGACTATATTTGAATATAATGGCCGCTCCATGAGAAAAGGAAGTGTCTGGCCTGTCTGCTCTGCAAGTACGCCTGATGTACAGAGAAAGTGAATGCACGGACAGGGTGCACGGACACGGCATCTCAGGTAGTACCCTAGGTGGAACTACCGCCCGTAAACGCAGCCAGCCCAAAAGGTAAATGTACGGGAGGCTCAGGACAGTGCCGCTGGCCATTACCTGGCCAACAGGAAGCAACGTGGTATCATGCTACTCGTCCATCTTAGCTGAAGGAGACCTGGATCTTAATCCTGACTCTGCTACTCAGTGTCGCCCAGGCCCATAAGGCCTGGACTATCCACCTACAAGAGGAGACTCAACGACCGGATGGCCATAAACTGAACATTCTTCTTTCTCATGACTGTATAACAATCATCCTGAGCAGAAGCTCACTCCCAAGTACTCAGTGTTTGTCAGTGAAGATCATCCCCTACTGCTAGATGACCAAACTGGGGTGCAGAAGTAACTTGCTCAAGGTCACAGGGTTAGGGTAAAATATGAACTATCACCCAGATCTCGTTCTGTGCTGGTTTAACACTCGGGCTTTCCAAGATCCTTATTTAATTCAAAAATACCATGCTGTTAGCCAACTTTTCCAAGCTCAAAAAATCTATTATTTGATAATCCTGTTAAATAATCTTGTCTGATTTCACTACATCATGGTTAGCAGAACGAGGAAGAAATTACTATTTCCACATTGCTAACCCTCAGACTCAACCATCCGTCAGGGTGAATTCCTTCAAAGACTACTTGTCTTTGCCAGAACTGAGATCAGAGTACTTTCAAATAAATGTTGGTTTCACTTTAAACCATATGGTTTAAATTTAAGCAATAGATTTAAAAAACCAAACATCTAGTAACACAATGCTCCCGCGTACAGCACTTAGTTTTTAAATTTTATGACTTTTATGCCACTTGAATCAACATAGACTGCCAAGGTAAAGGGTTTAAAAATGTTTACAAATGCTTGCTTGCTTTATTTTTATTAACAAAATACAAGCTGGACACAGACTCTTGGAATAAACATTTTCCTGGGGTTGTCAGGTTAGGAGTGAAAAAACATCTGGCAGTCACAGTCAATTTTCTAGTCTGCTCACAGCAAGAAGAGTCAAGGTCAAACTGTTCAGGCTCTTTCCCCTCCCATTGAAAGGCAGCTAATGGTGAGCTCAAAATACTCCATTCTGGTACTCTCACAAATATAAATAAATGTCAGCTTCAGGATCACACTGGCTCAGGAAATTCTGTGAGGACAGGCTGTCGGGAACGGGAAAATCGGGGGAAGCAGGATAGATGTAGAAACCAGAGCACTTCGAGAGCACTTCGATGGCACGCAGAGAGGAGGAATTTCCACTACTTTCTGGAGCTCACCACCTACAGGATGAGCGTAATCCTGCTGCCAGAGGACGGCATGAATCAAATGATGACGCGAAAGAAATTAAAATAATATAGTCTTGCAATCTCGGGTAACGGTGAAAGACGACTGTGATCACTCCTATGCACAACATATATTTGGGCCTGAAGACCCCTCAAATTTCTGGTTCTGCATTTTGAGGCCCCTAAAATAACGGGATAGGGAGCTAGTTTTTTCCCCAGACTTCTGATGCGACAACCTGTCTGTCAAGTGTCTGCCGCAGAACGATGAGAAGGGAGGGCTTCAGAATCCGGGCCTAGTGGGCTCAACAGCGACCGCGCCCCCAAGTCACCTTGTCCTCACCTTGAGGAACAGAAAGAAATCCTACCGAGTGGAACCCGGTCCTCAAAAAGGAGGACGGGGTGCCGCCACTCTCCACCAGGCCGCCGGTGTTTGGACCCACGCTTTCCGCGGGGCGGGGACAGGGACGGGGCTGCTGCCTGAACCCGGGACGCCTTGACCTCGAGCACCGGAGCGGGCACGGGCGCTAGGCCGGCACAGGTACAAAAGTTGGCCGGAGGTCGGACCCGCCTCACCTGGCGCTGCCTCGCCCATTGCCGCTGGCACAGCAGGAGGCACCCCGCCCCCGTGAACCCAGAGGGCCCTGAGTTCGCTCACCTGCAGCCGGGTCACCAGTAGGCTGTAAGGCGCCATTTTGTGCACTGACAAAGATTAGGTCGCGTGAAAGTGACGTGCCAAACCGTGCATTTAAAGCCTTCGGGCAGAGGGCGTGGCCTACGTCACGGGGGAGGCGGGGCCTCCACCGGGCGCCAGAGCCGGGAGAGCGCAATGGGAGGGGCGCCCGCGGTATAAGCACGTGAGAGAGGAAAAAGAGCTACATAAATACCGGGGCGGAGGTCAGTGCCCACACAAAGATGCCTTCACGAAGTGCAAATTTCAGTTGTCTCTTCCACCCAAATAGGGGATAAAGGAATTTTTTTTGAGACTTTTATGCACCTGCCAGGACCTTCCTCCCCAAATGGGCCGAAACGCCTCTTTTGAAACTTAAGGGCGTTGATCGCGCGAGATCAAGCGGGGCTTGGTGCGAAGAGGGTGAGGCTGATGGACGCTTAGTGGACCAATCGCGGCGGTTGGGGGCGGGAACAAGAAGGGTTAAAGGTCGGGCGGAAGTTCCGCGCGTTTCCGGTGGCGGGCTTGAGTGGGCGCTATGGCTAAACATCATCCGGACTTGATCTTTTGCCGCAAGCAGGCTGGTGTTGGTGAGACTGCCTCCTGCCCCCGGCCGTGCGGGTGAAGGTGGTGTTAGGGCGAGGGGCCGGGGGTGCCCGTTAGTCCCTTAGGATCTTGTCCCGGGGGCGCCACTTTTCCCGCCTCATGGCCGGTAGTGTGGAGCGCGGGTGCGTGGCCCTGGTTGGGGGTGGGGCGGGGGCTCGTGTGCTGGGAGCCGCGGGCGGGGCCCCGGGTGGCGCCGGCGGAAACGGATTGCCCGGGACCTGGGAGGAGCTTCAGGAGGGTGTGGGGCTGGTGCCGAGCTGGTTAGCTGGGCTGAGGTGAATGAGCTTCCCCAGGACTCAGCAGTCTGCTCCTGTCTCCCGGGGTGGGCAGCACTGGCGCGTCAAAACCTTAATTCTAATGGTCCCTTTTCTGTCTTTGATCTTGCAGCCATTGGAAGATTGTGTGAAAAATGTGAGTGGAACACACCTCCCCAGACACCCGCCCCTTCCGCTCAGCGGTGCCGCAGAGGCTCTGCTTCGATGTGCCCTGAAGCATGTGAACAGTGACCCTGCCACGGTCCCCACTCCCTGCACGCTGTAGACGTTTAGGTTCCCAGCAATCTTTGCCTTTGGAGTGGAAGCAGCCTGAGCCCTCCCCAGCGTGCTTTTTTCCCCCAGTAACTACATGGGTTTGTCACTTACCAGGTGCTGTGCAGGCTGTTTACATATTAATTGATCGACTTGTCCTAAGGGTTGTGGGGTGTGCAGTCTGGTGATCCCAAAGTAGAGGGCCCTGAAGTCGCCACAAAAGGAGACCTGGGTGTTTCTTCCTTGCAGGAGTAGTTGCAGGTGAGCTAACGCCACTCTTCCTCACAGGCGACGGCAAGTGTGTGATCTGTGACTCCTACGTGCGCCCCTGCACCCTGGTGCGCATTTGCGACGAGTGTAACTATGGCTCCTACCAGGGGCGCTGTGTGATCTGTGGCGGCCCCGGAGTCTCCGACGCCTATTACTGTAAGGAATGTACCATCCAGGAGAAGGATGTGAGTATGGCCTAAGGTCCTGTCTAACCTTTCCTTTTGTTCAGTAACTGCCGTCCATGGCCGACTCCCGTGGCCTCTGCGGATTACTGTGTTCAGCCAGCTACCTAGGCTATAATTTCTCCGAGCCCCATGAGCCAAGCTGGGTGTAGTCCCACAGAAGGCAGTTATTTGGAATCAAGGGGGGGAATGCAAGAGAAGCAAATCTCTGTCAACACCAGCAATTTAGAGAACCCTCTCTCTATTCCTTTGATGTTTCTCTGTGATTATTTTTATTCAGAAGCAGCGTGCGGCATTTTGGAAAGCCTGGCAGGGCGCATGGTGTGGAATAGCCACTCAGTCCTTCCCTTTACTGTCATTAAGGAATGTTTGGGTGGGTGTGGAATTGGGGGTAGTTCAGGTTGGTTGCGGCCTTAGACAGCTGCAGAATGCCTTGATACTCCCTGTGAAGAGTTCTGTGGTGACTGTGATTCTGTGTCGTGGCATTTTTGCCCCTTGTGTTATATGGAGGCAGCAGCTGTTCATTCAGCTCCTTGAACCAAGTGCCAATCTGTGGGCTTGTAGTCTGTGACAGAGGCCTCACTACTCTTCTTTAGATTGGAAGCATTAGGCTTTCGGGGGCAGGATGGGACATGAGTCAGCTTGTTTACTTACGACCCAAAAGGAAGTGTGATTGAGCACCACCAGGCTGATAGGAGGTATCTGGTTACCTAATCTCAAACAAAGTAGAGGATACGTAATTCTGAGTATTTTACATGCAGAGAATAGGTAATTTATAGATGCTATCTTCCTTCACAGTAACCTTGTTTAATAGGGCTTATCATCATCTGCATTTTCTAGTCCCTCACCCAGCTAATAAGTGGCAAGCCCAGGCTGTCTGACGAGACCTAGTGGTGTCCCCATCACGCTGTGCTGTCCTGTGTAAGTCCTTTTATTAGGATGTGCCTGCGATGGGGAGAAACAGCCCTCGCTCCTCAGCAGTCGGGGCGTGCGCCACCAGCCAGTGCTCTTCCTCCATGAAGCCTGGTACTCGGGACAACGAGAAAGGGCACAGATGAAGTGCCCACATCATCTCAGTTGGTGATTTGAACCACCTCCTGCCCTAATCTCTGCCTGCATGTACCTTTGACTGTTAAATCGTGTCCTCTGATTTGATCCCCCAATTAGGTCACACTCCTTTACAGGGCAGGGCCTGGGTTTCTGTTTCCATCTCCATTCTCCCACGTTCTGGGTGCCACCCCCAAGGATCCACACACACAGAGCGTCTGGTACATGGTAGACCTTTGGCAATTGCTGAGTCTTTAAGCAGTGAAGCCAGAGTTAAGACAATAATAGTGAAGAGAAAGTCTGTAGCTCTTGACCTAACAGCACCAAGGACAGCATTTTCTTGGACCTGTGCTCAGTTGTAGCCAGAATTTGTCTGGCGGTAGGTTGCAACCAGAATGTGCTCGAGCAATGTTGATTGCTGTCTGACGCGTCTGCGTTTCATGTGTGACCTGATAGCTGGGCTTCTTCGTGCCTTACTCTTTCCCTGAGAACTCTAGACGTCACTTCCTCCACTTTGCATTACACCGCAGCGTTGTGAGGACATTTGAGATGGCGTCAGCTCACATTTACTCCGCAGTAGTTTCAGGGAGCACAAAGCAATCCAGTGACAGGACCCAACCGTCAGCCTTACAGATCACCACGCAGATTGTTTGTCCCATGCAGAAACCTCCCTGCTGCGGCCGAGGCAGCCCCGCCTTGTTTCCCTCCGGCAGCTTTCGTGGAGGGAATTAGGCCAGCGAGCTAAGGTGGGTGCTAGAGCTCCTCAGGGCCTCCAGGATTACTCGGACGTCTAGGCTGGTAACTGCAGGGGTTGCTGTCGAGTGAGAGAACTCGTCTACAGTTCTTGGTTTCTTCTGGACCCTTGATTGACCATTTTCCTCAATTCTCCCAACCAGTAAACAAGAAAAACTGCACCTAACATTCTAGAGTTCCTGCTGTGCCCAGTCAGTGCTAACACACCTTCCCAGAAGCTCTGTGACGCAGATGGGGAGACAGGGTCTTAGGGGTGTTTGAGTGACGTGGGCAGTCACTTGGTAAAGCTGTGGCCGATCCAGTGATGCTCACTACAACTTTTACTCAAATGTCTGATTCCCCCAGTGAGGGGAAAAGTTAAATGCTACAGAGTAAGGTCGGTGGTGAGCTTCAGCTCTCCAGCCTGTAGCTCCAAAGAGGGCTCACCCTCCCTCCTGATGTGCGACTTAACTCACGTTTGCTCCCACGGCAGCCAAGGGGCTGTTTCTCCTCCTCTCCCCCTTGAAGTGAACAGCACAGCCATTGAATAGATGAAAGAGCTGTTTGGCACTCTGTGAGGTCAGTTCATAAACATGCCCTTCTCTTCAAGGCCACACGAGCTAAGTTTGTTGTCTCCAAGAAGCCCTGGGCTTTGTTGCTCACATATCAGGTGCTGCTTGAGAAAATCTCTCGAGAAAGGAAGTAATGATCTCTTACCTCGGGGTGTGGATTTTAGAGCTTAGAGATCTCTAAAGACAGGGCCCTCCCCGGTGGCGCAGCAGGTTGGATTGCTGCACTGAGAAGCTAAGCCAAGCTAAGGCTGCTTCATTGTGAGTTCGAACCGTGCCAGGGAGTGACCCACATGGCGCAGCAGACCTCTCCTGTCTCTCTGCCGCTCCCCTCAGCAGTGTACTTCATCAGTCGGCCTATTCTGCCCCCCACTCTGTCTCTGGTGAGTCCTCTCGCTGCTTCTGCACCTCTGGCCTGTACCCCAGTCCAGTTCTGTGTGCAAAAATAAATACATCTTTACATATAATAAAAGATCTGTAAAAACAAAGAGTGGGGTAGAGAAGTGATGGCACCACGTCCACATCGCCACGTCCCCTGGCTTTCACACCTGGGTGCTCCCCAGACAGCTTTCAAAAGAAACAGGCATGTTTCACCTTCAGCTCCATGATGGAAGCAGGTGCGGCGACTGAGTGCCCTTCATAACTGCTCCCTTGTGAGGGAGAGCGTGTGGACACATCAGTAACTTTTCCTGATCTCCAAGTTTTTAAATTTCCTTTTCTTGCATTTTAGCTCAGTACAGATTTCCCTGTGGCACATTACTCTGCACTGCTTGATGTTGGTTCGTAGAGGTATTCATTGCCGAGACCTCGGTTTTCATCGTTGGTTTGGGATAAGTTTGTAATGTGCAATCCTGCCCCCTGAAGTGAGCTTGAAACAACCTTCCTCAGGAAAGAACCCAAGGATGTTGAGTCGGCCTTGGCGGTTGCTACAGGAGCGTATTTAGGTTCCCCTGTGGCGTTCCTGCAGCCTTGAGCAGGACAGAAGCTGGCGTGGGCAGTCTGGGGTGTGCTTTGTGAATATAACAATTAAGTGGCCATAAGATGCATTTCCCACGGGCGTTCGCTCAAGCGAGAGCTGCCTGAAATAAACGTCAGATGGGGACGTGTGTCCTCTGGGAGCATCGTGGGGTGACGTTTTCAGTATCTGGGCACACGTTTGCTAAAGAACTGTTGCTGCAGATAGGTGTTTGCAGGTATTTTTAGAATATCCTCAGGCTCAACCCAAACGCACTCCTAGACCTCCCAAGGTTTCTTCACAGCTTTCCATCTCTTTTTTTTTTTTTTTTTTTTTTTAATTATTTAATTAATGAGTTTATGAGTAGTGAATTGAGCACAGTTGTTTGCGCGTCAAATAGTTTCTTAGTGCTGTGCTTTAACCCGCTGCACCACCAGGGAGGGCCTGATAAAACGTTTTGAAATACCCCCCTTTCCTATTTTTTTTTTTTTT